TCCCCCGCCGCTTGAGCAATCGCGGGCGGCCCCGGCCCCGGCGGCGGAGGGAGGCGGGAGCCGGCGCTCGCCCCGCTCCGCCCCGCGGCCCCGGCGGCGGCGGCAGCGCAGAGCGGTGCGGGCAGCAGCGGCGTGCGCGCCTCTCCTCCGCGCGCGCCTCTCCTCCGCGCCCCACCGCGCTCAGCATGAAGATCGAGTTCGCCCCCATCAACATCCCCCTCAAGAGGAGGATCCAGACGGCGGCCGTGCTCCAGTGGATCTTCTCCTTCCTGCTGCTCGGTAACGGCTGCTGCTGCTTCTGCCCCTGACAAGCAGCCCTGGCTGCTCTTCCCTCCGGCTCCATGGGAAGGTGCCGCTCGGAGCCTGCTCCCACAGCCTCTGTTCTCCCTCTTCTCCTGCTTCCTTCACTCTTGCTATAGAGTCTCCTTACAGCACATCCTTGGGATGCCTGTGACTGTAGTAATAAAATACCCCTCGGGTTTCTGCTAGCTAACACTTAAGCTTTCTTGCTGATCTTGTAAAATAGCTTTATATACTGTGATTCAATAACGTTGTCACCTAAATAGGTGATAAAGGTAAGTGCTTAATAAAGAGTGATAGCAAAAGGGTTGAATTCAGCAGCTTCGATAGATTTGAGAAGTGTCCTTGCTTTAAGAAAGTGGCCCTAACAGTGTCACTAAGTGATCTCATTTCACTATGTTTTTTATAGAGAGACACTTTTAAAAATATCTTTAGCGAGGGACTCCTATCACTACACCTTTAATCACAGCAAAAAATCTTATTCTTTTGGGTAATTATGTTGAGCTTGATATAATGAGTCACTTCATAAGGTGAGTTGAGCTTTAATCCTTTGGGAACAGGTCCACAGGTTGTGAAAATCGGCACGACATTATTCAATATGCTCTTACAGAACCCACTGCTGTCAGGTGTAGAGTCTTGCATGTTATAGGACATGCTTATGGTGTTTTATGATTGTCTCTGCTTTGGGATTTACAAGGAAAGGGAAGTGCATATATCTTCCATCTTTTTGCAAGTATTTACCATTAGATGCTGGTCTGATGCGTTTCAGATAGTTGACTGTGGGGGACTGGAGCATATGGAAATGTGTGAAGCAGGGAAAGTATAAAGCACCACTTTATGTTGCTTCTAAATTGCTTGCAACTGGGTTATGAACATGGATTGTGTTTATGACCACGTAGCAAACAGACTCTGTTTTTATTCTTTACCACTGAATTAAATCTTGGCATCTCCTATCACTGCAGTCTAATAATAATCCAAGACAGTGGAAGGAAACAATTTTTATCCTAGCCTAGTTGGTAACAATGCTGCTGTCTCCTCAAAAAGTCCAGAAAATAGTGTCATCTGCTCACTAGAAAGGCACCGACTGCAGAAAATTCACCGTTGCTGCAGTTCAATAGGAGAAGCAGGCAGCTGTCTCTGCAACTGGCATTGCTAGTGAGTGAATATTGAGAGGCTGGCCAGGAGGTTTCAGTAGGGGTGATTGAACACAGTGAACATGCACGGTGGGGAGCGGTGGGAACATTTTTGCAAAAAATGCTCTAATGTCTTCAATATAAACTGATCTGCTCATGCTGTCATTGGGCTGCTCACCTTCACAGCTGTTGAAGGGGAACTCTTCATAGTTTTAAGTATCAATCATAGGTCAGTAGGAATTGTCAGGTCCAAATACTTCACTTAATACCAGGAAAAATCACCTGGTTGAATCGTAAATATCTTCAAGAAGTGAAAGAGGGGTCAGTCTGTGTGGATGCCTCAGCATTTGTCTAATATCTGCCAGTTATGAAAGAAGCTAGTTGGTAAGGTCTCAAATTCAAAAATGATGCTACCAAATCCCATAAGGGTTACCCATGTACAACTCAAGTACTGTGTGAATTCATTGCAAGAGAGATTGCATGGTTGAATTATTATTTTTATTTCAAATATATGGGTGGAACTATATTATACCAAGCAAGATCTTCTCTAGCTTTTGTCTTTCTTATGTAAAAGTATCTTCATGTTGGGGAGGTGGGGGAGTGGAAAATGAACGGAGAACACCATGATTGCTAACCGCTTGCGTTACAGATGTCATCATTCCAAGTAAGCAGCAAATAAGTAGGGTACTGGCTTCCTGAAATCATTCATGTATGGATGCATTGAGGTGCTATAGCTTAATAAATGGACTAGCAGATAAAGTAAAAGAACTGTTAAAAATGAGTACTTGGGAAGAGGAAAGCTGAGTGAGGTAAAATTAATTAAATTTGGGAAATGACAGGTGAAAACATTAGATGTGTAGAGTGAGCCACAACAGTAATGTGGATCAATTTTAACTTAAAATCCTCAATATTACTTGGATATAAAACTCTGGAAAAACTGGCATTCATTGTATGTTCCTAGCCTTGGTCCTAACAGTCACTAGCTGAATGCAAAGAGCCTGTTCAGTGCTGGTTGTTCTGAATCAGAACTGGTGATTGAAAATGCGCTTTTGCTTGGGTGCCTGAAGATCAGAGACAAGCTACTCTGAAATGCACCTATGCAATAGTTATCGACCAGCTCGAGTTGCTTGTCACGGTGTGTAGTAATAGCTAATCTGTCGCCTAAAGCTTGGGAGATAGCCCTGATAGCCCCGCACAGGCGAATAGGCTCTGCTTCTTTGCACGGCTTGCAGAGTTGGCGCTTTGTACGAGCACGTTGCTTCATTGCTGCGGCCTCAGAAGGCAGCCAGAATAAACATGCATCTGCCCCTAAAAAAGCCGTGTGGATGTACACAGAATTTCATTAAATACAAAAGGGAACTCTTTAAAATTCTGAATGTAAGTTGCTGTGCCTTCCTGTTCTCTGCTTTAAAAAGCTGCCAAAGCTTTCTCTCAAGCAGGAGGAAAAAAAAAAAAAAAGCCAAACTTTTCTTGTAGCAGTGGTTCTGTTAGTTATCTGTAAAGATCAGGGATGTGACACCAGAAGTAAAACTTGATTTTGAAATGCTGTCATCATGCATAGGAGTTTCTTCTTTGCCAGCTTCTATGGATTTGATCTAAAAAGGAATGCTGGAATTCAGCATGTACAGGATTAAGTGCAGAGTGAGGAGGCTGAACCCTCTCACAGGAATCCCAGGACTCGGTTTCCCAGTGAGGGCTGGTGCCCTGTGTGTGTTGTCACCTGCAGCCGAGCAGCGGTGGGGCCAGTCCCCTCCCTACCTGCAGGGTGTACGTGGCTCTTTAGTGTGCACCTAGGTACAGGCTCGTGAGATTCGGTATTGACTTGTAAAATAGCTAATGTAAAATCATTGTGCAAGTACAGCTACGTACATAGTACATATTAAAATGAGATGCTAAGTGCAGTGGTGTATGTTAAAGTACATCCATTTCTCTAGCAACACAACTTCTCTGTGTCTGTCTGGTAGGATGAAATGCTGCTGGCTGGATTTTGTTGGAGTCAGTTTTAAGCTGTGGCTCTGGCTTGCAGAAAAAAATAGAAATGATGAAACATTTGCTACAGAGTGGGATAATGCTGCTGGAAAAAAAAACCCTTAAGAGAAAGCAGGTGTGCAGCATAATGTGTTTAAAAAAAAAAAAAAAAAAAAAGCCTGCCTTCCCTCATCCCTCTTACTTGAATTTACTGCAATTCTTAGTTATTTGGTGCTGATTTAAGTCTTCAGATGTAGCTGGCTGAAGTTGCTGTCTTGCTCCTCTTCAAAGCCTTCCTTTTTAAAGTTCCCTCTTCTTGCCTAAGGAAACTCAGCCAAGCTGCTGTAACCTCTTCCTGGCAAGCTGAGTGATATAACTATCTTGTTTTTATCTGTCTGTACTGCTGTCCCTGACACTTATTCCTGGCCCTTGGGCAGGGACTCTTGTATGATCACAGAGAGTAACAGCACTTACTGATGCTTACCTGAGTAGTACTCTAGGAATGCTGCCTCGCTTACCTCCATCTCCGGGAGGAGCTTTAGCCTTGTCTCTGAACGGGTTTCGTTTTGTGCCTCGAAAGAGCAAGACGAAAAAATGCCTGTGCTGGGCCAGACCTGTGGACCCTCGACTCAGCACTCTGCAACTGAGGGTAAATGGTAGTGGATGCTTGAAGAGGAGTCGGAGATGGGAAATAAAGCCTGCCGGTGTTTCCTGGCACGCTGTCTCAGCATCTGCTTATCAGGAGCTTGGGGCTTTGCTTTGTACAGACCTTTGTGTTCTAGTTCTCTCTATCTGTGGTTAATCAGTGTTTGTCAACAGAATAGCTGCCTTGCTGGGAACTGGGACCAAATTCCCAAGTAAACGAGCCTCTGAGCCCCCCTCTAAACCTTTGCATCCGAAGGCTTGGGTTTGTTCTTGCAGTAACATGGAAATTCAGCTGCTTGCATAGGACTGTTTGAGTATCCTTGTGAGTAGGACTCCTAATTGTAACCAATAACCTGAGAAAGGACCTCAGCTACAAGAAGGGCCGTGTTTGAGAGGTGCTGCTTCCTCAACACCCTCCCTCCTGAAAGGAGCTCCCATATCTTCATGTCAACCTCGACCATTTCCTAGTGACCATTTTAAATAACGTCTTAGCCTCTTTTCTGCCATGGATTCTGTAACAGGTAGGAAGTAACAGTAAGGTAAGCTAATGGAATCTAAGCAGGCTAGTACTGACATCAGGGATTACATTTTTTAAAGAGCCTTTCCATGTCTGAGCTGTGGGCCGGTGCTCTGCAGGCATGGTGAAGCTCTCTTGCCTGGCAGGTTGCTTCCTCTTGGCTCTTGCACGTGTGGGTTATGTGTTGTGACCATTGCAGTTGTTTGCTGGGCCTGTTTCTTCATATATAAATCCATTCTGTTCTTTACCACTTATCTTATAAACTATTTATTATTTCCTTTCTCATGCAAATATCTGCTAAGCAGGGGGCAATTGGAGCTGCATGTCCTTCTGAAGACGTGACAAATCTACGATCAATGACGTCTAGAGGGATTATAGGGAGGGGAAAAAATTGTTAATTAGGGACTAAAACTTCCCTGCAATACTCTTCCGATGTTCCTCCAATATCATTTCTCAAGCATCTGCCTTCGGAAATACTGATGCTCCAAAGCTAAAACTGAGCAAGGGAGAGCTCTGTGGTAGGTGCATCATGGTGGTTATTGAAAAATATACTGTCTTTCATTTTTCTCCCTATAGCTGGAGGATAAGAAGTGAGATTTTTTTTCAGCTTGTCTTCTGCCCCAGGCTTGCTTTGTGTATTTGCCTGTATTCAGAATGCCTAGAGAAATACAAATACTTAAAACGACATCTGTCCCCAGGCTTTCCTTAGAAAATCGGTGGGACAACGATGTCCTGATCATCACGTCGTTTGTGCGACTAGTTCCAATCCCTGCACTCGCACAGTCTGGTCCCGGTTTTGGTGTTGTCAGCAGCTCGATGCGTTTGCAGATGCTCCACCAGGGCCTGTGGCCGAGCTCGCTCTGGCCTGGGCTGCCCCTGCCCAGGGGGGAGCGTGAGGTGCCCTCCGGGCTCGCTGGGTGCTCCGGGCAGCCCGGTGCTCCTCACTGATACCAACACCGACCGCTGGACACGGCTGCTGCCCTGCAGGTGGGGACAGGCAGGCCGGGCTATTAGCAATAGATGCTACTCGGGCATTTTTTAGCTCCTTAGTAACTGCACATGACCTGAAATTCACCCATATTTTCCTACTCAACCTGCTCATTTCCTGCTTAATCTCACTGTGGTGTTAAACTATTCTATAAATTTGTTGCCTATGGCTGTTATCTTGGAACCTACTTAGTGAGTGAAGCATCAGCCATTCAAACACTATAGGTCACGATGCTTTTGGTGCTGCTACAGACACAATATATCATTATTCATCTTTTTTGCAGCAGATTAGTATTCTCATTTTACAATGACGCAAATATTAAAAGAAAAAAAAGGAAATAAACTAATTTGCTTAATGTGGACTGACAAACCTGGTGTTCTGAGTCCCATGGTAATGGGCTCTCTTCTGACCTATATTGTTTCTTTTTCTCCATTTTTCCAATGCACCGCAGAGATTTTTAAAGCTTTAATTTGGGCTCAAGCAAAAAGATGATGCTTGTGTCCTGGAAGTGTATCCAAACAGACAGGGATACAATAAGACATTCCTCATTTGCCTGGAATTTGTTTATATATTTGTCACTTATTTACTCACTGACTTCCTTGAGGGAGAAAATACTGTGGATGTTTTTTTTTTTTTTTTCTCAGAGGCTCATTGGTTTTGAGTCATCTGTGTTTAAATCATCTTGCAGACTAATAATGCACTGAAATAATGAGGAGGAATGATAATAGCTATTTGTTTCACGTGTGTCATTGCAAATGCAGTAGTAAATGGGCCTTGTCCTGCAAGGTGCTGAGCTCCTCTCGGGAGGTGCTACTGGCAGCCAGGTAACTTGCCCCGCAGATTAACTTGCCCGGAGCCTTGCACACACTCAGGCACGTGGAGCCTGCTCTGCTTTGGCAAAGCAGTTAGATCCTTTGTGTGTTTGTGCAGTGTTAAATAGGGCTGTCTAGCACTTAGCATACTGCTTTGATTAGCTTCTGTATCAATGATGCTCTGATCCAAAACCTCTCTCAGATATTTGACTAGGTAACTAATACTAAAAGAGATGTGAGTCTTCACTGAGCCAAAAGCCCTTCCAATGGGGACAGTGGGGAATATTTCTGCCTATCAACTTTTGTATGAGAACTAAGTACTCATCATTTAATGCACTGAAGAACTTGCACTTACTCATTTAGAGTGTTAACCTTGGCATCCTGTTGAAATTATGATACCTAGAAATTACTTTAAGTTCAGGGTCTTTTCTTCAAATAACAAACATTAGTGACTTCTGTTCTCTGTTTTCGACTGTGCTGGTGTGGGCTTTCAAGCAAATTTTGTTCTCAGGAGAAGTAAAAGTTAGTGTCAGATTCGTGACACACATTCTACATCTTCTAGCACTTAGTGTTGCAGTTGATGGGAATTTACCCCATTGATTCCAAAGGACTCTGGGCCTCAGCTGTGGGGTTTTTCTAGAGTTCTTCCTGAGGTGCTAGTTTAGATGAGGATGTTGCCTGTTAAGCAGGAAGCAAAAGTGCCCCCATAGTGATGGTACCCAACAAGGAGGTGTCCTTTGGAACAGTAGAGTTGAGCATTGATCCCATTCCTGGTTTTCCTGTGGTTGTTGACTTCTCAGGAATGAGATTGGTTTTTTTTTCTTCTCTGCTTATTTTCTGCCAGTCATTCATCTCTCTTCTGCTCAATCAAATCAGCAGCTTTCCTTGCTTTATCTTCTGCTGCTGGATTCGGGTAGTTATTATTGACCCCATGGTTATTGTTTGTTTTTTTTTTTTTTTTTATTCTGGACAACGACATTTTAGAAGAAATTCAGGAAAAGTAAGTATTCACATTGGAGGAAATGTAAGAGTGCAAATAGGTCCAGTTGAGATGTTTTTCATCAGGTAGAATCTGCTTAATACAGCCAACCTGCTGTGAGTTTTCCATTTCCAAGTAATTTCTGCTAGGAAAAATCTTGCATGGAGCTTAAGAAGGCTGGATTGTTCTTACTCTTAGTCCATCAGCTTATTTCCACGTTTTCTGCCAAAGTTTACGTTGTGTTAGCCAAGATATTGACTGCCATACTTCTGTTATTCTTTATTCCCCTCTGTGCAGATGTATGAAGTCCAATATGCTTCACTGATATAGCTCCTTTTAGGATGCAACAAGGTGCTGTCCTCATGAAAGCCAATCAGTTGTGGGACATAGGAAATGTGTCGAGCTTGGAGTTGGGTGCCTGCCTAGTTACTCAGATCTGTGAGGATGGTGATGCCTGTTGGTTACTGGAAGCCGGAATAACCAGCCCGAGGCAGCTGGACTGTCGAGCGGGAGCGGGTCCCACCTGGCTCGGCCCTGTGTGGGGCACAGCTGCAAGAGGACAAGAGCTGGCAGGGCCTGCAGAGCCAGCGTTCCCTCAGACGTGGGTTGGGAGGTGTCCTAGGATCGGGCCCCCCAGTAATGTCTTCTGCCTAATTGAACACTTCTTCCTGGTTTTGTTTTGAATGGCGTATGATGCATTTCCCATGCATTGCTCTTGTGGTAGCCTGCTACAGTTCTTGTTGATGCAGACTTGAAAGTAGCAGAAGTTAAACCCATTGTCATGCTCCCAAAGAAATGACCAGTTTCCACTTAATGACATATTTAGGAACTGAATTGGAGCCTGCTAATGTCTTGGGCCAGCCTAGTGCATGACCTTGCTTAGTCGCTTCTTGTAGGCAGCCAGAACTGTCATCCCTATTTGATAGACTAGATTTGCCAAATATCACTCCCATAAGAAAAAGGTCTCACTGCTGTCTCCTCTCTCCCTTCTCCTTTCCCAGCTCAGCTCCCCTCTTCTCCCTCACCAGAGCGTTGTGTCCTTGTTAGAGCAGTGTTCTCAGGCATCCTCAAGTCGACCAGCATCTTCTGGAGCTAATTCATCTAGTTGTGCAGGGGAGTGAGAAAGAGAGACTGAGGTGATGCCCTCTTTTGCACATTCATGCAACATGGAATAAGCAGATTTCAATTAGCCTCCAGTTTGAATGCCATCCATAATAAAAACAGCAGGGTTGAGAATTCAAGATCTTGCAAGGAGATGGTGTGATTAATGCTCCTGATGGTGTCCTTTGTTTGTCTTTTACAGCGGAGTTTTGCTGTGGGTTCTTTGTAATCTTGATTCTGGGCAACTTTTGGTTTCTTGGCGTCCTGTACTTGCTGTGGCTCTACCACGACTGGGACACGCCGTGTGCTGGAGGGAGAAGGTTCCAGTGTGTGAGAAACTGGACAATCTGGAAGTACTTTAGGGAATACTTTCCCATCAAGGTGAGTAAAAGGTGTCTTGGCCAACTCTAAACTTTTGAGGGCACAGCTAAAACTTTCATGAATGCCTTTGGATGGCTAAGAGTCATCTTTGGTACAACTCAAATAGTTACTTCAGAGTGTATTGAACTTCTTAAAACATCAGGAATCTGAAATTTAGTGATAGGAAGGGGGAATGCAGGTTCATTTTCCACTTGGATGACTTGATCTGAAGATAGTGCTCTGTAAATGATACAGAAGTGATCGTTCAGGATAGATCTATTTAAATTTACTTTGTTCTGGTGTAAAACAGAACATTTTAAAGCCTTCAGAGGATATAAATGAATTGATGTCAGTTCTGTGTCCTGTCAAATTGCAATCCTTATGTTTTGTTATTTTATGTTTAAATAGAACATAGAATAATCTCTTCCACTGTCTCAAAATTTCAGCTTATAAAAACTTCAGAATTGAGTCCAGAGCACAACTACTTGCTTGGCTTTCATCCTCATGGGGTGCTGGTAGCTGGAGCCTTTGGAAACTTCTGCACTGGGCAAAATTTCAAGACTCTGTTTCCCGGGATTACTCCATACCTTCATATCACTCCCATCTGGTTCGGCTGTCCCTTCTTCAGAGAATATGTCATGAGTGCTGGTAGGTAAAAACAGAATGTCTCAGCTTATTGCTTCATGTTATAGCTCTTGCTTAAAGTGCTGTGTCTACTGCACCGATCAATGGCAAATTGCTATTTCACTTCAGTTGGATCAGCACTGGCCTGAAGTTAAAGCTCTGTTCTGTGTAGAGCCGTTGCGAAATAACTTGAAAGATTTTGATAATTTTGCTGAACGATATGATAATGTGTCCTTATTTAAAACTGATTGCAGTGAATAGTTCTATTGCTTCATAATTGCAGTTACAATATAGTGAGATCCACTGCTGGTGTAAGAGCTTTGCTGCAGGAAAGAGCCATAGTGATTTGGTTCCTCTAGGAAGGTTATTCTGAAAATAAGGTCTATTGAATCTAAAGCTTACTTTCTTTGAGCATAAGCACTGATTGTTAAATCTTGGGTATTAAGATCAAACTATATATTCCTATCTTTTAAAAAGTACCTGTTTTAGCTAACATTAACTGATTACAAGTCATGTAATCACTGATCATTGCAGATACTTCTGCACCTTCTTTTTTTGAATAATGCTTCTAGCTATGGTAAGGCAGATAGGGCAGGGAGTAGGAACCAGGTAGTCTGGGTGGCCTCCAGCAGCCATTTGAGTGTTCAGGAACCCTTTTCTGTAGCTTCATATCCCTTCTCCACCTGGCTGGTTCCCCAAACCTGCTCTACCTCAAGCTCTCTTGCTTCAGTGGCTGTGGGGCAATCCCCATTCCCTTACCCTCCTCCAGATGTGTTGTGGGCAGGAGCCCTTTCGGTGGTTCTGCCCACACTGGGGAAATGAAGGAGGCGTTGGGGGCTTCAGGGTTCCCATGCTGGCCTCGACTGTGCTTCTTAGCACTGCCAATAGCAATTGGGAGTGCTTGAGGCTTCATTTCCACACGTTATGCCTGTATTGTCACCTTGCAGAAGGGGATGTTTGAAGTAGAGCACTAGTCCTTGCACAATGGCACTTGAAAAACAAATTGAAGATAATCTCTTACCTGAGAAGTTTAAAGTCCTGCTCAGAACAGGTATCTTTTTAGCCAGAAATTAATTACTTCAAGCTTGTGCAATTGTAACAGTGATGAAAGCTCTAAAGAAACACAGAAACACTCTTTTCTGTTTCTCTAGCACTTCTCAAAAAGAGGTCATGTTCATGGTTGATACTGCGGTAATAATAAAAGATAACAAGTACTAAACTGTGGAGGAGAGAATATATAATGAAATTAGGATGAGTGTTCCTTCAGAGCAGTTTAATAGAGGAGTTATTTTACTTAAATGCATTAAACTACAGCAGATAGTTGTAACAGCGGTAAGTACAGGCAAGACAAACCTGGGCAAGACCAGATCCTGGGAGGCAGAGATCTGGCTTTCACGCCTGGCTTCTGCATGAATGCTGTGATTGTAGGGCAGCTATTCAACCACTTCCTGCTTACAGACGTGCCCAGGATGCACTTCCGATGAATATTGGAACTGCACATCCATGTATTCAGTATTCCAGGAGAATGTCTTTCCATGTAAGTTCTGTAACCTTAGGAAAGCTCCATGTTGTTCTAGTCTAGATAGATCAATGAGTGTCAGGTCCTGGTTACTAGAGGAAAAGCCGATGCAGTCGTTGGGAGTGCTGTGCTACAACTGAGGAAAGAAGACAAGGCATTGACTTGCAGTGCAGATCTGTGCTTAAGTTAGTGAGTCCTCTGCTTATTCTGTTCTGAATTTGTTTATAAGCACCTGCATCTGTTGCATTAGCCTCAGCCTCTCCATGGTGTCTGCTGCGATTCTACTAGGCACAGGAGGCTCTGCAGTAAGGAGCAGAGAGAGCCATCTGCAGAGGAGATGGCTCATCTTGGCAGAAGAGCCATCTCTTTCCTGAAGATAGCAGGTAGCTGCTGTGGTAGGCAAGAGAGTAGGTAGGTTCATGGTAGGCTCATCAGTAAGAAGTCAAAGGACGTGCCAAATACAACTACTGCATTTAGAGGTTAAACCCCAATCTTTGAACTCTGTCCTGTGCTATAATTATTTATAAATATTAGAAATATCATTTAGATATCCCTTACAGTGGAATTTATGAAATATTTGTACCTCTTTATGAGGTTCTACTGAATCGCTCTTAATGTTCGTTCCTGAAGGAATGGTCTCCGCATCCAAGGAGAGCGTCTCGTACGTGCTGAACAATGAGGGAGGTGGCCACGCATCCGTCATCGTCATCGGAGGAGCAGAGGAATCTCTGAACGCGCATCCTGGAAGCCTAACCTTGAACATCCTCAAGAGGAAAGGCTTCATTAAAATGGCCTTGAAACACGGGTAGGTTTCCCATTAAGACTGCTGCAGCAAGCATGCTTTGGATATAGCCTGCTTCATAAATATAGTACTTATTACATATAGTAAACTCATAATTAGAATCTGAAAGAGTAATTTGTGTATGAATGTTCAATGTCTGAAACAGGAGCCAGTCTGGGCATTCAGATCCAATCTGGGAATGTTGAAAGCTCCTTCTTGCCTTACATAATTTGTAAGCAGTAGGTGGAGATATTAACATATCTTGGTTATTTGTTTCTGTTGTTTTATATTGCAGTAGCAAAAAAGTAATAATTGTGAAACAGCATTAGTAAACTGTGGCTTTTATTGCTGATTGACTCAGCGATTAGTCTGTTCTGTAAATTGAAGCTGCATTGAAGTATTTCCATATCATTCGAAGAAAAAAGATTAGAAAGCTACAATTTATTTTACTAAATCACTTACAAGTGCAGTCCAGGAAGACTTTTCATCCTTATTCTAAAGAATTTTGAGGGAAACTTGTTATTTACAAATGTATATTTCTCAGAATTTGGGGATATGGGTCTCAAAAGCTTTTTTTAAACTATCAAGCATCCATCAGTTTGTTACTGAACAGAGGTGACATTAATATTTTGAATGACTTACATAATATGAGCTGTTGTGTCTGTGACAGACTGTTCTACATGCCTTGTGTATTAGAAATATTGGAACCAATGCCTTGTTCCTGCTAAGCTTTCTAGATATCAATGTGTACTCCTGGAGCTGTGTTAAGCAATGAGAGGGCAAGAAACAAAACCAAACAAAACTATATTTGAGCAAATCTAACAGTTTTTTAGCCATTAATCAGAGGAAAAATGGATGCTGAGAAGCACCTCTCCAATTTCAGGTAGGCTACTAATGTGGGCTTTTTTTATTCTAGAAACTATTCTGTGTAAAGATGACAAGAGATTTCTTTTACGCATTTTTCTAGGAATCTCATAAAGGACCTGTTCTCTCATGGAATGTAACTTTAGTCCAATTTCTACCCAGAAATAAGACCTGTATATTTAAACTGGGCCCTCAGTGCCTAAAGGAGTCTTTACCCTCTATTTGACTGCTGATTAATCCAATAAGATTGCAAACACCACCAGCAGTTTACTCTTTTTTACCACAAAGTTTACAAAAATATCTTCCTGCTTGTTTGTGAGCATGTCCAGAGATCTCTGTGATCTGAGAGATCACCAAGACTGCTGTTCATCTCATGTAAGCTGATTTGGATTGAGAAACAAGATACTCCCTCCTGGCCTTGATTTCAAAAGCAGCCTTATGCAGGTTGACAGGTTTGGGCTCCTTGCAGAACACAGTGGCCACTCCTTTCATGAAGCCCTTACAAGGGGTGGTCCTCGTCCTTAATAAATCAGCTCAGTGTTTGCACTGCCCAGCAGCATGAAATGGGCATCAGGAGGTCCCCTGGCTCAACTCCACAGGTCTTCACCACTGCAGGTGACCCTGGGTCTGCGCATCTTCTGGTGCTCTGCCTCTGTAGCACTGAGTATCAAGAGGGCATCAACAGTGCAGGGGGGTAGCGCTGTTCCTGCACTGCTCTCTTCCCGTGTGCCCCAAACATGTATGCAGAGTCCTCTGCACTTCTGGAGAAGACATTTTGGCCCAAGGTAACACAGTACCTGATATAAAGTGAAGAAATTCCAAAGACATAAATGATGAATCAGCTAAATTGTCCTTAGTTTCATAATCAGAAGATACTTGCTTCTTTGTTGCAGCCTCCTACAGAGTGTCTTGCAAAAGCTTTTAGTGAGCAGATTAAAATAAATCCCACACTCTCAGGGTGTATACAAAATGCTATTGCACCACTAGATTTTCCTGTTTGTTTTAGAGTTGTAGTTAAAAAAATAAAAATAAAATAAAATGGAGTATATACAGAGCCGTGCTATTTTCTGGGCTTTCTGTTGTTTCCTTTTCAGTGAGAGCAGAGTGGGAGCTGGGAGCACTCAGGATGCCTGAGTTTTTGGGAGCTATGGAAGCTCTTGGTCTTCTCTGTGCAGGTGGCTGTGACTGTCCATGGTACCGGCTCTGTCCTCAGCACATCCTCGGGCATTTGTGCTTCAGGAATTCATCATGACAGAATTACTAGCAGTGCTGCTAATGTAGTTAGGCTTTCCTCAAAGACAGTATAAACAGAATAGAGCTAAAATACAGAAATTAAGACTCAAGTCCAGCAAATAAAATACCTTGGTGACCTCCAGAGATTGATCAGAATTCTTTTGGCCTTTAATATTTAGTATTTTTTTAAAAGCTTAAGCTGTTGAACTATGGAAAACTATTGAACTCTTTTTGATAAAGTTAAATATAAAAAAAAATGCAGTCAAGATTTGAAATACTTTTTTAGTAGATGCTAGCACTGATTCCATGAGCCTAAGGAGTTTATCCAGGTGGTAATCAGTGCGTTTCCTCCCACCCAACTCATGAACTGAACCAAAATTCATTAAGTTGTGTGTGAGCCAAAGTGAATTAGTATAATTTCTGTGGGGTATGATTTGACCTTTGATAGTAACAGATTAAGGCTAATGTTTCAGAAGCCTGGAGGAAGCAGGATTTCACCAGGAGTTGGTCAGCAGGCAAATTTGGCTTTGGACTCGTGTCTGGAAGAATATCTACTCTTTACCATGTTGTTTGTGCTGAGGCCAAGGGTGTGCCGCACTCGGGTCAAAAGGCTGGGGAAGGCCAAGGTCTGACCCAAACAGCCAGGAGCATTACCAGGTTAGCAACAGGGCTTCCTTGCTTGCCCACGGAGAAAATGCAGTGAAAACTTGTCTGGATTTGCTGAAATACTGGTGGATAAGATCATAATTATGATATATGGATAATTATGTATTTTTACAACTACAACTAATTATTAAAATTTGCAAAAGGTAGCAGCCAACTAAATACTTCCTTAAAAGCTAGCTGCTAGTTGCGTGTGAATGACTTCAAGAGCATATTCCACTTCTTAGGTGAAATGCCTCCTCTTGCTGATGAACTTGAGGGCCCCTGAGCTGCTGGGCAGCAGCAGCCTGCCCACGGTGGCAGTGAGCGGTGCTGCACGGACATGGACACGGGCTCCTCCAGCGCTCACTGTGGTTCTGACTCCTTTCCAGGGCTCATCTGGTCCCGGTGTTTTCCTTTGGTGAAAACGAGCTCTTCAAGCAAGTTGCAAACCCCAGAGGTTCCCGGCTCAGAAGCATCCAGGAGAGGCTGCAGAAGATCATGGGCTTTGCTCTGCCACTGTTTCATGCCAGGGGTGTATTTCAATACACTTTTGGCCTAATACCTTACAGGCAACCTATTCATACCATCGGTGAGTTCCTTGTGCCTTTTCCAATGCTTTTTGGTTTTAAAGTGTGAAAATGTGCCTCTAGTATCTGTATAAATCTGTTCCAACAAAAACAATTGACTACTGAACATTTAAAGCAAGGATGTGAGATTCACTCCCAGCTGAGAAAGGGGCCTCCTTTCACCCTTCTCCCATTCTGTCTCATGCCAAATCTCATTCTTAATTCCTCAGGAATCCTCAAGGAGACCCAAGGGGTGTTCTGCAAAGGCTGAGCGTGTATTTTGGATAGACCATTTTTAGTCAGATCCTGAGTGACTGAATCTGATTGTCCAGAAAAATAAAGCTGCCCTTGTATTTCACTCTGGACATCCTTCCTTCCAGAGGAGGGATGATGTAGTTTTAGTATGGAGCAAATCAAAATATGCAAGATGCAGCAGTAGTAATTTATGAGAAATTTAATGCAGGCCTGCCTACCTGACTAGGGCATATATTTAAATGTTTTGGAAAAGTCTTAACCTTTTAAACCCTATGTTGTGCCTAGGCAGGTCAAAAATGTTGCTTGCTTAAAAGCCGAAATATGTCCAAAACACAGGAATGAAAATGAGGCATTTTGGGTGCTTTTTCACTGGGTATGATATCAAGACTGTTCCGAACATTAATTGAAACAAATCTTCAACACATTTACTACAAGAGCCAGAGCGTGTCCACAGCTGAAATACAGCAGTGCTGCAAATCAGCAAGAGTCTTGCAACAGAACCTGTTATATGAAATCCCTTATCTTCAGCGTGCGTTAGCTCCTGTTTGAAAACCCTTATCGTGTCTGCGGGTTCCTGGAGCGCTCCTCCGAGTGGCTCAATCGGGCGCTGAAAGCCTTAGCTCAGCTCCTGAGAGCTCGGCGAGCTCCACCCGACAGCGCGGCCCGTTGGGGGCTCCTGCGCCCGGGGCCACGGCTACTCCCAGAGCCTCCTTCCCTCAAGCCAGGGGTGCAGCTCGCCACCATCCAGATAGCAAAGTCTGCGCGCTCTGGGCTGCGTGACTGAGAGTAATTTGGTTTGCCTGGGAATTATTGCTGCTTGCAGGAGCAGAATGGCAAATTAGGGAGAGCTACACAGTTTTCAGCTTCATGCAGGACCTGGAAATTCCTTATTTGAGCTGCAGTGACTTCATACCCCCAGTGTCTTACTCAATGCAGGGCTGCGTTCTGCCCCTGTTCATGTAAAGACTGAATTTCAGCACTGCGGGGCCAGGGAGCTCTTGGCAGCAGCAGCTGCAGCAGGAATCTGCAGGATCAGCCCCTTTGCAGTCAGTTACACCTGCCCTGCCTTTGTCAACACCTTCCCATCTGAGGTGAAACATCTGCTGAAAGGGATTTCCAGTGCTTGGCAAAGGCATCCGACAATCTGTTCAAGCCATCTTTTCAATAGACTTCTACTGTGTGATCTTGGCCGTGTCTGTTAAGCTTCCAGAGCCTCTTTTGTTTTTCAGCAAAAGAAAAACAGATGTCAAAACTGCTGGTGACTAATATTGCTGTTGGAGTCTCTTTCACAGTGGGCACCTATTCAGATCAGAAAGGGGCACAGTGAGAAGCAGACATTTCAGTTGGCATGTTCTCTTGCACTTATAGAACTTCACCTGTAGTATCTTGAGTTCTCCTTTTTCTCCAGCTTAAGCATGTCCTGAGCCTGCAAGGATTTGTAGCAGGATTTGTTTTTTCAAACCCAACATTACCTGGATGCAAAGCTGGCTTGCCCTGAGGGGTGGCGGATGACAGCTCACCTTTGCCGTGAGAAGCATCTTCCAGCAAACTCTTGATTTCTGTTACTCACCTGAATGAAACCCACTGCCTGCAAAGGGTCTGGACAAAAAGAGAGCTAGAAGAAGAGAAGGCTGGGGCTGACTGGCAGGTTGTGACCCAGGGTAGCAAGGCAGCTAAAAACCTGCAGGATTTTACTCCTTGCTCTACACTTACTGCTAGAGATGGGAAGAGCTGCAAAAAACTCTGTATTATTTTTCTGAGCACAGACTAACCAGAGCAGTCCAGCCTGGAACTCGCTAACTCTAGCAACTCGCTAAGCATCTGTAAAAATGCTTGAGCCTTGAAATGTCTCCCAGCTCAGCAGGGTATCGCCTAGGCTGGCCGGCACCAGTGGGCCCGGGCATTTACTCTGCCTGTTGAATTTTACACCTGTTTTGAACTTGCTCTGCAGAATGCTCCATAAATGGCCCACAGCCCGCACCAGGGTACCCTGCAGTGTAAACTGTATCTTCAGGCTACAGCCAACACTCCCTGTTTGTTCTTTTGCTGCCAAACTACTGAGTAGAGTTTTTTGGCTATTTTTTATTTTTAAACCCATTTTTGTCTGAACTCAAATGAAAGAAAGTGGAAAAAACAGCCCCAGGTTTGTGAAAGGTGGAAAGGGGTCCAAGGCTAAGAGAACTGGGCTGTGGTTCTGTCGCCTCACAGCTGTGACGGAGCTAGGGGTGAGGGAGGAACGTTTTATTTTAAAAGAGGTGTCAGTGAAGCTAACCTTGCTGTTGTGTTTAATTTACAGTGGGAAGTCCCATCCCTGTGAAAAAGAACTTGAATCCTACCAATGAAGAGATTGAGCAGCTACATGAGCTATACCTACAGAAACTGAATAAATTATTTGAAGACCACAAAAGAAATTATGGGATCCCTGAGCAGAGATGTCTTGTCTTTGAGTAGTGAATTACAATTTGTGATTACAAGGATCAACGTGGGAAAAAAAATTGGTTAAATATGTCTTGAAAAATGTCTTTCTTGCAATCTATATTTTGTTATCTTTAATTCTTCTTGTTTAAGGAATAATTTCAAGAATGGATTGTTTGATTTTTATTTTTTAATCTTATGGGGGGAAAAAAAGAAATCCTTAGGGCGTGATTGGGGAAGCCATTGCTGTTCTAAGTTGTTTTTTTTTTCGATTCTTCTGTACTAGAAATGCTAGTGAGAGACTCGGTGCAGATGTTCCTACCACCATGTTTTGGGCAGAGAAAATGGCCCTAGCATGGGATCAAGAGCAGGAGAGGTATAACCCGCCCCCACCGAAGCATGTAATTAGGACTTGCTAGCATGTGTGAAAAATCAATTTGTTCTTTGAATATCAAAGAAATCCTATTGCTTTTCTATAAAAATGAAGCTGTTTTTTCAGTAGATGGCTATTATGACCTATTTATATAGGATTTCAGGAATATTGTGCACTTTCTGCCTTAAAGAAGATATCACCAAATGTGATATCTAACTTATGGAGCAGATTAAGCTCTGCTGGGAGGAAGAACAGTGTGAGTTGCTCTATATTCATGCATTTCCTGGGTAGTGGGAAGCACTGAATGGCGTGACATCCTTCATCCCATGGACACACTGTGCTTTTGATCATCGGTTTGTGCGATGCCACAGCTGGGTTTGGCAGCTCGAGCTCCCAGGAGGGGCAGGCACAGTGCAGGTGTTTAGCACTGAAGCTGCTGGGGGAGTCATGTGGATCTTGCATGTCATGGGTATTCAGAGTTAGTGTTCTGGACACTGGCACAGAGGAAGTGAAGCCCGCTTTGTTCAGTCTAGCTCTGAAACTATAGGAGGAAAGGGTGCTTGTTATGCTTTTTTCCTCCTCTCCTGAATCCTAGTTCTCTGAAGACCAGTGGATGGGGAGGCAGACTGGGAGGTTTTATTCTTCTTTCCTACTAGTTTGATTGAACCAAATTCTAACCTGTGGTTTCCTGATCTGGAAAGCTGCCTGTCACCGTGGCACAGCTGTAGCTGCCAAGGCAATGCGAGCACTTGTGCTTGACAGAAGATTTTGCTTAAGTATGGATGTCTTTTTTAAAATAGATATATATATATCTTGGTCTTTTTCATTTAAAATGCCTAGGCCTCCAAGATGATGATTTGTGAAGAAAATTGTAATTTTTTTTATATATGAGAAGTTTACTGTATTTGTGAGTGTTTTCTGTCCGTGCTTGGGCTCTGCAAATCTGAGTTTATTGAGAAGTGTGTGCTTTGCCTTAAGCAGTTTTGCTTCCTGAATGTTTTATCAGGTGCCCTGACAGGATGTGCGTGGGCTTGTTGGGCAGCCTGGGGCACCTGCAGCCCTGCCAGTTGGCAGCACTGGGCTCTAGGAGTAGTCCTGTTGGCCCCATGGAGACCTTGGGCTCGTTGTGCGCTTGGAGCCTTCCTAGCACAAGCGTGGCTGTGGTTCGGAGAAGTGTTAGAAGTCTAGGGAAAAAAGATCTGTAGCCAGATGAATGTCTTCCAAGAAACGGGTGGAAGCGGTGTGACTCCTGAGGAATGGACTGCCCATGAACCCAGGCCCCAGCGTTGAGCAAGTGTCTGCCGTACAGGACACATGGATGTTAGTGTAACCTGTTCCAAAAAAACCTCCGTACAAGGTATGGTTTGCTCGGGAGGGCTGTGCCTTCTAGTGCATGTCTGTCACTTGGGAATGACCAGCACTGAGATGGTAAATCCCACTCATGGTTTCCCTAGGACTACAGATGCCTTTAGGAGCCAGGATGAGAGCTGGAGTTTTTGATGTCGAGAGAGGCAGCTCTCCTTCCCTGGCAGGCTGCTGCCAGCATGTCCATAGCTCTTCTCATACCCAGTTTAGCTTTCCCGGTGCTGAATCCTTCCCAGGGCTTGGCTGTCTCATGATGATTGCATGTGATGACTATGTGCATGTACAAAACTTTAAATGGCTTCCTGTCCTCATCCAAAAGCAGTGGTTTAGGAGCAGGGCTTGAGAAGAGGAAATGCTGTGAGCGTTTGACGTGAGCTTAAGATCCAGGAGTATTTCAGCTTTTGGAATAGCAAATGCCTAGGGGATCAGACATCCCAGATTTGATACTTGGAAGGGGCGTTTAGGGTCCTGAGGCCCTGAGGAGTGGATTTTTATTAATCCAGCTGTGCGAAGCTGCCATTTGAGCTCATCTCTTGTTGCTTGCCCTGACGAGAGGCACTCGTGCAGTGACCGAAGACGGACTGGGTCAGCCTGCCCTCCCACATCACCTGGTCTAATAAGATGCTTCCTCTCATACTCAGTCTGTTTTATCACATTACTGTAATGATACAGAAGCTCAGGATGTACATTTTCAAGCCATAGTGTGGGTTGAAGATAGGAACTGCTTGCATTGCTGTTAATTAAATTAGCCCCAAATTCTAGGGAACTGGAGGATACTGATTTGGGAGGGAGGGGGACATACCCGGTCCTGAATGTACCAGGATGTGTATAAGCTCACCTCTGAAATCCATGAGAAAAGTGTTTGAGGGCTCTAAATGCCATTCATAACCTGCACAGTTAGAGCAACTAGGAGTGGCTACTAATATTTTTATTGGTTTGTAATCCAGGAAGATAGAGGAAAGAAACTAAGGTCTCCAGGCAACTGAATCGTGTTATTGCTCTGCACGTACAGTTGCTCTCCAAGTGCTGTGTTGCCTAGGCGGGTCCTGCACCTTACATTTGTAAACAAACTTGCCATGCTTAGTGTGTCTAGGACAGGATTATGCTGAGTTAGACCAGCAGTTTGTACAAGAGCAGTGCTGAGCAGAGGCCGTGGGGGCTTCGGCGCCCTGGGTGCTGCAGGGGGCCCTGCTTTGCGGATTAGGTGCATGACTCGGGAAGCTGCCTCGGCTCCCCTTCCCGAGGACGGACGCGGGGCTGGAGCACGTTCCTCGAGCCCTCGGCCCTGCCGGACAGCACGAGGAGCCGCCGGCGCCCGCCCTGCGCGGGGTTGTGCCGCTCTCCAGGGCGGCCTGGGCCCGGGCTGCCCGTCACAAGGCCGGTGCCTGCCCCTCCGCAGGCTCCCCGGCCCTGCAGCTCTTACCAGAGCTTCTCTGCACAAACCCTTACACGGAGCAGCAGCCCTCGAGAGCTTGCATTTCCTGAGCTTATATTTCAGCCTTTGATATCTTTGTGACTTTTGGCGGTACCTGTAAAATACCGATTTTGGTTGTTACGTTGACGGCTGTAGCTAAGCGGTGTGCGACAATAAAGGTTTGTACCAAAGTGTGTTTGTGTTGCGTGGAATTCAAGTGTTCATCATTGCTATTGGGCAAGGGCTTGGGACATGGTGGCCTTAACAGTGTGACTGAGTTCAGAGGTCCTATTAGAATATCATATAAAGCAGCTAAGAGGACAGTGGCCATAAGCAGCACGAACGTGGGGGCTTGGTGAAGGTGGAGGGACCTCTCTGTGCGCTCTCGGCCATCCCCTGAAGCCAAAGTCCTGCTGCGAGGCCAGAGGGTCTGGGAAGAAGTTAGGGAAGGGTTGGTGTGTGTCTCTGCAGGGCTGCAGCTCTCCGTGGCCACAGCAGGGCCGGAGCACGGCGGGGAGGACCAGTCCTCTGCGGAACGGGTGAAGTCACGGCAGGCCACGGCGTTGAGTTCAGCTCAAGTGTTCAGGCGTAGTCTTGAATTTCTATTGAACTTCTATCAGAGTTTTGAGTCCTTAAAAGGACCAGACCCTGTATAGGCTCTGCTAAACTCTAAGGATTTGGGAAGCTGACTGCTGCTTGGATTAAAAATGGCTTGTCTTTCTGTATTGGGGATGCTTCAAAACTTAATTTTTTTTTTTTTTTATCATCATAGTCGTCTTTAGTATAGCATTGCTTATATTGACACCTGCACTGGCAGCTAGAAAATACAAAGCCTAGGAAAAGCTAACAGTGTTTGGTTACTCTCTTTATGGAGGAATCCACCTTGCCTTTTAGTGTTATATAAAAGAAACAAAATGGTAGAAAGTAAAGTGGCTTTGGATTGCTTTGAGGAGTCTCATCATACCTGTGGGGAGGTGTGTTGTTAGTGGATGAGTGTCACATCTCATGGTGGTTCTTATTTGTTGTTGTTGAAATACTGAAAAGCTGTAAGCCTAGAAAAAGAAATGGGGAACAGAGAACAGTGAGATCTTCCTGCTTTCCGACGTGCTCAGAAACACTAATCCTGATCACGGTGGTCTGTGCTAGCCAAGCTGTTAGCTCCAGGCGAAAGAGTTGACTCCAAAGGGAACCTTGTGGCCTGATGAATGTACGTGGCCTTTCAGCAGACATTTCCTCAGGTTGGTATCAATTTTGTCATCTGCCCTGCTGGAGCGCTGCCTGGAGGCGCCACCAGAGCGTTTCTGAGGTGGCCCTTGCAGTGCAGAAGGGAAGAGGGGCTCCGTGACGTGTGCTGGGCTCCAGAACAGCCTGCTCCTCGGCGCTCCGCTCCAGCCTGGCAGGCAGCCTCGCAGCGCTCCAGCCCTGGACAAAGTAACAGGAAAAGCAGCAGCCAAGTACGACCTTCTGTTCACCCAGTTTATTTTCCAAGGGCCTTACTGATGTGAATGGAGTTCTGCTTTTTGAATGGTTAGGTTGGGATATAATAACTCACTGTGATAGATCAAGGAACACAGAGCCCTGTAAGCTCCTTGTAAGCTTTTGTTTTTTCTGCTAACATGAATCAGGAATGGTCTGTTACTTCCTTGATGCAGTGAACAGCCAGTATTGAACAGAAAGAGTAGGTTCGTTGAATAGAAACCTGGTATTCTCTACATCTATCTGTACAGCAGAGACTGTCCAGAAAACAATACATTTTTTAGATATACTAGTGTGGACATACGTGCTTTAGAATGCATTGCAGTAGAAATCTACACTAAAAGAGTGCCTAAATGTTTTATAAGATTTGTGTTGTTCCTCTGAATTTTTCTTGCATAAACAGTAAGTAAAATCTATTTTTTTCAAGTAAAAGCAAGCCTTTTTCATGGCTTATAAAGGGAAGAAAGCGCAGCCTTGCAGGGGATAAGCACCCCACGACCTTCCTGCACCATCTGTGTGCATCCTCCTGCATCTTCCTGCCCCAGAAGGGCCTGTCTGAGCCGCTCGCCCGGGTACCGCCACGGGAGCTGCGTGTCCTGCCCACCTGGAGCTCTGGCAACGGCCGAGCAAAGCGGTGCGCGAGGAAGGGCGGCTGGCGCGGAGCGAACGGGGCCACAACACAGGGTGAGCAGCAGTTTCACAGAGAGGCGCCTTTTTTAGGGCGGTTTCGGGAGGTCTGGAGAGCGCCGGGGCCGCGCCGCGAGGTGGCGCCGCCGCGCCGCGGCTGCGCGCGCACCAGCCGCTGCGTTCGCGGCCCTATAGCGTGGACACACGTTGTGGTGTGGGCAGGGCGCTACAGGGCGGCGGGGCTGGAGGGAGCCCCGCGGGAGAGGCCGCCGCGCGGGCTCTGCGTGCCCCTGTGGGCTCTGCTCGGGCGTGTTTGACCTGCGCCTTGCTCTCGCTGCCTTGTTAGGTAAATAACGCCCGCTGCGTTCTGCAGGGGGGGAAACGAGTGGGATTCTGCACCTAGTCCACCACAAGGAGTGCGAAATTTATAAATCTGTGGTGGTGGTTCTCTTCGTTTGGTATCACGTAAGAAAACTTCGCGTTTTCAACCTGTGTTAACTGCAGCTTCCAGCATGCAGTAAAGCAATGTGTGTTATGTCTGTGTAACCGCTGCTGCTGCCTTCAGGTGGTTGATAGCAGAGCAGCATCACTTGGCACGTGCTTAAGCTCCCGCAGGTGGGTGCATGGGCAGAAACGCGACACCAAAGTAGCTCTGAAGGACCGAGATCCCAGGCTTCAGAGCAAGTTGGTGACGTTTTGGCTGCCTCTTTGTCGATGTGTGCTTTAGAGGTGTGCGCAAGGCGGGTTTTCAGAAGTGTCGGCTGCAAAAGCTCCATATGAAACCAAAAGTGTTAGTGCTCAGGAGCTGGGAAAATTAATCCCTAGAATTCAGTCTTTTTTAAGATCTCAGCTTTGTTTGTTTTCCTGCATCTGTGGCCAAACTGTCAAAATGGTGCTGCTTTCTTTTTTTATACTTATCACTGGAGTTCCAACAAGAATTCCAGGCTGCTGAGCTTGACTTTGTAACCTGACTCCTTTTTGTTGCTGAGGGAAGGTGCTAAGGCCTGGGGCGAGTGAAGAAAATAGCCCCACTCCTGCTGCTCCACAAGCTATATGAAATGTGTCGCTGCTTTTTGAACTTCAGGAAAAAAAAAAAAAAAAAAAAAGAAAAATATTTCAGATTCTTCAGTACTACAAGTTGAAAACTTGTTTAAGTTCTGTCATTATTTTTTTTTTGTTTGCTCATTCTTGATTTTAGGCCTACTGAGCCACCCGGCCACCCCATGGCTGATGTTCAGCTGATGTGTTTGCTTTCCTCCCTGGAATTTGCCCCACTTCCAGCGAGGTCAGGGGTGACCTCCCACGGGGCTGGAGCGGGAGCAGGGAGCAGATCCCTGCCGGGAGCATCCCTGGTGCGGGGCTGGGAGCCCATGTGCCAATGGAGCCTCCCTGTGGGCACGGAAGTACGACCCTTAGCTTTCCACCATCTCCTTCCCGATAAAGGGTGACTTGCCCTTGAAATTCGGCTGCTTTTGCTGACCTACTTGTTTTCACTTTGATAGAATCAGAATTGTTAAGGTTGGAAGGGGCCTTTAGAGATCACGTAGTCCAACTTCCCTTCCCATGCAGAAATGGGTGTATAGGTTCAGTATGAAAATGGTGACTAAAGATGTGCCTGTCACTGGTTCATGCCTTGAAGTTCTGAACACCGTCCACAGGACCACTCTTTGCAACCTTAATTAGAACTTTTTCATGCAGGTGTTCACAAGTGGGGCATGGGACTGCAGTTCATAACCCAGTACCCTTTTTATTTTGAAGTGGGGGCTCCAGCACCTTTCTTAGGCCCGGCTATCCGTGGTGTCCCCACAGGGAACAGTGTGCCTGGTCCTGCTCCCTCTCCGTCCCTCGAGGCAGAGAGTCGAGGAGACAGCGGCCGCCCGCTCCATGGGCCGCTCTTGGAGCGGTCTTTGACGGTGCTAATCTGCATTACGCGGGATTAAACGGGCACAGTAATTAACTTGCATAAGCGCTTTAGCAACTTTTGGCACTTGAATTGCAGCATATCCTGTGCGTGGTGGTGTTGAGGATGTAAAATGTGGGGACAGAACAGCCGGGAGTGGTGGAGAAGGAAACCACGTTGAAATTGCAGCCGTAAGCAACAATAAAGACAGCAAAATCCAGATGTTGCTCCTCACTTTTGAGGAGCTAATGTGGGCTGAGTGTTTGCAGGCACGTGGAAAAGGCAGCGTGGGATATTGGGCACTCTCACCAAGTCCAAGCATCAGTTATGGAACAAGTATCTCCATTTGCCATCCTAAAGGGGTGTCA